TATAATTTTTCTGTTATTTCTGTTACACTCGCACACACATTTGGTGATTTTCTTTAAAGAAAAGTTACTCAAGTGATAATGTTAGCATCTGCTCTCAAATTAGTTTCAGTTTACATCTTCCTTTCTTCAAAACGATGAGTACGAGTTAAGTCAAATTTGAAACATATAGGTTATCATTTTTAAACAACTACTATTTTTGTTAGAGATGTGATTCATCTCATCATTAGGATAATCCAAACCTTGAAAGAAGTGATTGATAAAAAAAAATAGAGAAATGCCTAAACAGTCTCTGTTCCCATGCTGCCAAGCCTGCATTAGTGTGGGTTGAAAGCCAGGCTTGTTGTCGTTACTCCATTGGGCCTTGACTTTTTCAGGCTTCTCAATTTGCACCATTTGAACTTTCACAACCCTTTCCTGTTTGGCATAATGGCATCTCCTAGGTGGAGCAGTTGATAGATTTTTCTCATTGCAAATTACGTGGTTGCAATGTTAGCTTTACTGACGATTAATTACTTTTTCGTTTTGTTTCTTTAAAGGTCACATTGTTTTTCTATGGCTCAACTCTGTGTCTGTGGACTCTGGCTTCATGTTTGTTAATCCAACTTGCAGGGCTTTGTTGAGAGGGAAATCACTCTAATTGGATCCCTCACTGTTCGGGAGTTTCTGTATTACTCCGCTCTTCTTCAGCTTCCTGGTTTCTTTTGTCAGAAAAAGAGCGTAGTAGAGGATGCCATCCATGCCATGTCACTGGGTGATTGTGCAAACAAATTGATAGGCGGTTACTGTAATATGAAGGGCCTTCCAAATGGCGATAGAAGGCGTGTTAGCATCGCTCGAGAGCTTGTGATGAGGCCACATATTTTATTCATAGATGAGCCTCTTTACCATCTTGATAGGTAATTTTTATTCTGTTCGCCGTGCTCTCTACATTATTCCATGGTGCACAACCCTATCCGTGGCCTGTATCACTATTTTGTGTATAACCATAAGCAACCAAATTATTTTCCATGGAAGCATTTCCAACTAAAGCATGAGTTTGGATAATTGTTTTTGAAGTATCTCAGTTGCATTATGTATTTCGAAGAAATCGCAACTGGTCTGAGATATTAAAGTTGGTGTGCTAAGGAATCTACTTGATGATTTCCAAGAATAATTTGGCTGACTCTAGAACTGATATAATATGAGGTTATTGCTGCATTGTTTCCTGAGGGATCAGGCAGCACCATTGAATTGTTTTGTTAGGTCTTTACCGCGGGGACTCCATGCTCATGACCAATAGTCTTCCTATTGAATATATTTGATTCCTTGAAGTACCATGACTGAAGTGGTTTTGTTTTTTCAGTGTCTCCGCACTTCTGATGATGGTAACGCTGAAGAAACTTGCAAGTACAGGTTGCACCGTTGTATTTACCATTTACCAAAGCAGCACAGAAGTATTCGGCCTTTTTGATCGGATATGTCTTCTTTCAAATGGAAACACCTTGTTTTTTGGGGAAACCTTGGCTTGTTTGCAGGTAAATGACATTTAAATGTCTGTTTTGTCATTAACTTTTTAATCCTGGACTCGCTGACCCTAAAATAAGTCTGATTTGTCATTAACTCTTTAAACAAGGTACTATTTACTGATTAGTGTTCTGTGATTATTGTAAGAGAGAAGAAATTCAAGAAATCATTTATGTTTTAAAAATCAAAATTCTTAATTTCATGTTTTTGTTTTTATTATTTTTTGTTCTTTTATATTTTTGGAAGCTAATTGGAGAGTTGTAGATAAGTGCTAACATACACTTTATGTTGATCCAGCACTTCTCAAACGCTGGATTTCCTTGTCCGATTATGCAAAGTCCGTCAGATCACTTTTTACGGGCAATAAATACAGATTTTGACAAGATCATTGCAATGTGCAAAAATTGGCAGGTAAGTACAGGGTGCTGCAGTTTTCCTAATTCTGATTGCATAAAGTGTAGAAGCCTTTAATTCGTACGTTATAATTATCCTATTGAGAAATTTCAAAATTGTTGGACTGTATGTTTTTATTTTGACTTAAAAGTGGAAGGATGCCTAACCATATTTTGTTATGAACTCACCATAATAATTGTAGTCCAATATGTCTTAGACTTTAGCATGACATTCATTTAGTTTAACACATGCTTTGCATGAACTGCAATGTGATGACAGGATGACAACGGAGATTTTTCATCGGTGAACATGGATACTGCTGTGGCAATACGCACCCTCGAAGCAACTTATAAATCATCAGCAGATGCTGCTGCAGTTGAAACTATGATACTGAGACTCACAGATAAGGTAAATATTTGATATGCAGCTGTCGTTTTCTGCATTATAATTGAAAGTTTCCTGTTTTCCATGTTGTGTTCCATAATTTGGGTGATGTGTACATATTAGCATATATATTTAGCTTCTGTAATCTTGGTTAACTTCTGATGTGCATATCCTTCTATAGGAAGGTCCGGTACTCAAAAGCAAGGGAAAGGCTGGAGCTGCTACACGGGTAGCAGTTTTAACTTGGAGATCATTATTAATAATGTCAAGGGATTGGAAATACTACTGGCTTCGTCTTATTCTTTATATGATTTTCACACTCTCCGTTGGTACAGTATTTTCTGGCTCGGGGCATTCGTTGTCTTCAGTTGCGGTGAGTTACTTTACATCACCTTTTTTCAATCACTAAGAAAATAAAATAAAAATTGATTGCATGCTTCGGTAATTGTTTTCAGTTCTACTTTATGAATACCACTTTCTTAATTGAACGCTTCTTTTAAAATTTTCACTCTTGTATGCAGTCAAGACGAGTTGCAGCAGTGTTTATTTTTGTTTCTGTACTGTACTAGCAAACACTGCTGGAGCATATGCTATATTCTTAATAATGTTAAACCTTTTATATGCAGACAAAAGTTCCAGCAATATTTATATTTGTTTCATTTACCTCACTACATGCATCCACAATATCTGTTTCCTTGTGTGGCATCTGAATCTCTTTTTTCTCCACCTTTTATATGCAGACAAAAGTTGCAGCAATATTTGTATTTGTTTCGTTTACTGCACTACTAAGCATTTCTGGAGTACCTGCAGTAATAAAAGAAATCAAGGTAATCTTGATGGATTCATTTCCTAGATAAGATATTGACTTAAGGTAGTGTGAAAGTTGGCCAAGTTATGATTAATATAGTGGCAAACATTTGTAGATTAATTATATGAATTATGCTATGCTTTTTTCCTGAAAGAACCCAAGATTGAGAGATCCAAAATTGATCTCAGTTTAAACTTCGGCAGTTTTATGGACATTCCATTAATTTGCAATGATGATAATGATATCATTATTTCCAGTGGAGTGGCTGGTTGATAGGACATTCTTATAATTACTGTAATTAATTATGTTCATTGCTTTGGGATTCTTATCTTCTAATCAAACTGATTATGGATACTGCAGATATATGCCAGTGAAGGATCGAACCACCATTTGGGGACACTAGTCTTTTTATTTGGACAGCTTCTCTCTAGCATCCCGTTCCTGTTTCTCATCTCCATCCCATCAAGTGTCGTCTTTTATTTCCTCATAGGACTGCGAGATGAGTTCAGCTTGTTGATGTACTTCATGCTGAATTTCTTCATGTGCCTCTTAGTAAATGATGGGATAATGCTGGTGGTGGTTTCTTTATGGCAAGATGTTTTCTGGAGCACCCTCACTCTGATATGCATACAAGTAAGTTCCTCTATCTCAACGAAATAATGTACTTGAAGTTTCCCAAGTTCAGCATTGAGTCATCTGCGAATGAACAAGAACTTTTACATTTTTTAAAGTACATGGCAGACTGGCAGTTGTGGTGTTTTATGGTATTGTGCGATAAAATGTCATGTATCATATCAATGAATGTCCGTGATACAATTATGCTTTTCTGACAATGATTGACAGTGTTATAACATTATAATCAGTTTCCTATCCTTCCCTAATCTTGCACTGAATGCATATGGAATTTCAGGTGGTAATGATGCTATCTGCGGGCTATTTCAGAATTCGAAATGCTTTGCCTGGACCCGTGTGGACATATCCAGTATCCTATATAGCTTTCCATACGTACTCTATACAGGCAAGAGGATTTACTTGATCCTTTGTATTTTTCTTCCTTGTTGCATAACAATGTTGAAAATCAATTGTCAGGCAACCTGGTTTAGCTTCAAATTTCTCGAGTTTGGGAAGGATAAAAAAAAAGCATTTCAGAGATTTTGGAACCAGTTGGTTAATTTTAATAATTGTCTTTTCTAACTGAAGATTCTAAAACTATTACCTTTCTGTCACAGGGGCTGTTGGAGAATGAGTACATAGGGACATCCTTCGCGGTTGGGCAGGTAAGGACCATATCTGGGTATCAAGCACTTAGTAGCGCATATGACATCTCCCCAGACAACAATGCCAAGTGGGAAAATTTATTGATCTTGTTTCTAATGGCTGTCGGGTATCGTATTCTCGTCCTTGTTTTACTGTACTTTCGCGTAGGGGGAAAAAAGTATATACGTAAGATTTTGAAGTGTAATCAGGATACAAACAATGCAAGATGAATGAAGTTGCAACTTGCCGTAAGTGTTGTATCTCAGCCATCATATTTTTGTAACTTCATGTAGTTCTTGGCATGTGCAATTTTGCTTTTGTAAACCTTTGTCGTCTATGAATGAGAAAATGCATGTTTTTGAGAGCTTTTGCTGCATGTCTTTTTGTTGCCAACTCCTTGTTATTTTGAATTCTTACAGAGCTGAGATCTGCATTTGTACCTGATTTTCACTGCAATCGGAAAAGTTCGGTACCGATGAGTGAGGGGAGAGTAATCTCATTGTTTGCAGACGGGAGTAGTCAAGTTGCCTAGAGTAATGTAGTCTCTCCCATCTGCACTAAAATTTGAATCACTCTTCTCGTAGTTTAAATTAGATTAAAATAATGCTTGAATCAAAGCAGGAGAGGCAAGTGACATCACTCCACTCCATGGTGATTGTTGGCAACACTTCATGTTACATCCTCTATTCAATCAACTCCGTACGTTACAAAGTCAACTATAAACAATGACACGAATATAAAAGGGCAGCCTCAAGCCAACTAGGCTTCTTGCTTTGCGAAGATCGGAAAGGAACATCTATAGTACATAGTTTTATCCTTGGTTTGCAAGGGTCGTGAGAACGTTTATTATGCACAAGTATATACAACAAATATTTATTCAAGAAAATTATGTACCACTTGGAAGGAAAAATATTTCATCTTTTGGGGTTCTCACATCTTGGCCTTTAGATCCTTGATGAAATTGTCCATGTTTTTCTCTGATGATCCGTTGGGTGTCAATGCATCCTCCAATGTGTTCTTAACCTTGACAACTGCTCTCCTATACTCATTCCCTGATTTTCCATCCATCAGACGGTTGATTTTCTCCGACACTTCCTCCTTGCTGACCACCCTCCGATTGCATAAATTGATCCCGACCTTCCAATCGTCAACTATTAATTTTCTGTTAGTGAACTGATCAGTAAGCAAAGGGAAACACAGCAATGGGACACCACACCAAATACTCTCCAATGTTGAGTTCCATCCACAATGTGACAAAAACCCTCCGATGGCCGGGTGGGCCAAGACCGCCTTTTGCGAGCACCACGGTATGACAATGCTCCGATCCTTGACGTCATCTCGAAAGCCCGAGGGTAACGGGTCGGTGTCGTTTGAGCTGACGATATCCGGCCGAAGCACCCAAACAAAGTTCACTTTGCTAAGCTTAAGCCCGTTAGTAATCTCTATAAGGTCCTTTTTCGCAACATGAGCATAGCTACCAAATGAGACATACAAAACCGAGCCATGGGGCTTGGTGTTGAGCCACTGGGTGCAGTCTGACTCGGACCACAGGCTCGTAGCCGCAATGTTCTTGCTGAATGTGGTTGGAAAAATGGGTCCAATGGCATAGAACTTCATCTTGGCTTGCAAGGCTGATATGGTCTCAGATTCAATCTCCTGCACTGTGTTGCACAGATGAAAATGTGCACCTCTGGCGTCCTTGAAGGCATTGAAAATGATTTGGTGGCACACAGATGTTGTATCAGTGTCCTGAAGATATGACATCATGTCTTTGGGATCGATTGCTCTCACTCCTGGTATGTAATCTATGGTGTCCTCTCGCACATCTACATAAAACACGATACCTTCGTTTAGCCCCCAATGAAGAACAACTATATATATTATCCGACTGTGAATCAAACCGTTGATTAAGTAACTTTATTTTCAAATGCATGATCTAAACTGGGAGTTTAACTGTATAACATGTTATTTAAATTAAAAAGAACAAATGGGTACGATGTACTATTGCCAAACATCTAACATGTTAGGTTAGGAAGATACAATGTATGTAACTCTTACGCCGAACAAAATTTCACATGACGAATGATATAGAGAGTAGAGGCCAGACGAGTTTGGCATGCCAGCCGTGATAAAGTTTATTTGATTAAAAGAACAAATTGACAGTATGACAACATAACATATACTTGGTTACCCTATTAAAAGCAGTAACTTACCCTGACATGCAAAATGGCCATGCATTCGAAGAAGATCAAGATGATAATAAAGTGAAAAAACCAAAGCAGGTTCTGTCCAAAATGAAACGTAAATAATCCCAAACTTCCTGGCAATCTTCGAGGGCCACACGAAAAACGTGTCAGCAATTATACAAGTGACCGGTGTGGTGTCAGCCGAAGACTTCACAGCCTTTCCCACCACCTCCTCTACGTGGGCCGAAAACACATGCAACAAAGAAGCCATGAATTGGTCATGATTAAGCGACCGGTCGAACTCAACGGGTAGGCCATCAGAGACGGTGGTGTAGTCTATGTCGAGGCCGGATTCATGTAAGTAGGCGAAAGGGTTCCCGGCGGATTTTGGTTGCGCCTTGGAGGTATGGTGTTGGATGAAGTGGGTGTTGATGAAGGTGATCTTGAAGCCGTGTGATGCAAGCTTGATGGCTAGATGGACGGATGGGATTACGTGGCCTTGGAGAGGGTAGGCGATGAAGATAGCGTGAGGACGTTTTTGACGATTGGTATTAGTATGAACCTGGTCTTCCATTAATGCTAAGAACTATGAAATGAGAAAGAGCGGCGGGGGGAGGGAGATAATGGCTAGGTTTTTAGATGTTCAGTTTATAAATCCCAAGTTGTACGGTACTTATTTGACTATAATATGACTGAATTTGCCTTTCTTTGCGGACAGTCATTTTTTGTAGCAAATTGGTTGATCAAGAGCAAACCAAACCAAACCAAAAATATTACTTTGCAGAAATATGCATACATAACATATAGGGCAACGAACAGGTTGTTGTGTGGTCATTGTTTTTCCATGAATCAATTGTAGTTATCGGATGAAAGGTAAATAATAAGAGATGGTGGGATGAAATGCTTATTATTTGCCACACACGGTACCTTGTCATTTGGACATAACAAATGAAATTTGATAATGTACCCGTCTTTTGTAAGTTGTAGAGCACTTAGTCTCACACTAACGAAAAGAATTCAGAAAACCTAAATTGAAGAACTCAATGTTCACACATTGCTCATTGAAGAACTCTACAATGAATAACATATTCTTTTCATTTGGCGATATTCTAATAAAATCTAAATTGGGTGCAGATGGAGACACATGACCCTATAAATGTGCATGGCGTACCCTGTATTTGGTTTTGGTGACTTGGTGGGGTTTAGAGTTTAGGTTTTAGTTTGTATAAACTTTAGTTAATGTATGTCACGTAGTGTATCGATTAATACAATATGATGAGATGCTATGAAAATATTCGATGGTAAAGAATGCAAATGGCAAGTACATACAATAATTGTTTTCTAAAAGTGGAAAATGCCAATAATGTGGATAACTTAGGCAACCACTTAACAACATGCATGCCAAAGCGCCAAGCAGCTATTTGTCATAAAATTATAAACTTGTTAACCAAGATAAGCATTCATGGCTTGATATTGTGCATAAGAAAAGAAATTTAGAATTCCTCTCTGAAATTCGACTAAGCTTAGAATTGATTGATTTGCTCAAAAATTATAAACTTGTTAATTAAGGTATATGGATTTACTAAACGTGCACTATTGATCTTTTTAACCGATGCCATTAGCTTTTTTGTCATAAAATACCATGCTCATGAGTACCTTCTTCCAAAAATAAAAATCCGCACCACCATCACTATTTGGATACTGTTACACGTAGGGGTCATTTTTCAGTTTGATCAGATCGGAAATAAGCATTCTAATGGTAATTTAAAAAAGTTTCGGAATCAAATTTCGGAATTTTGGATTATTGGAAATTTCAAAATTGATTTTTCTCAAAATTTTCGGAACATAATTCACGTCTTCTACATTTTACAGATTTTTAGAATCTTGTAAGTTTTTTCAAATTTTTATGTATCCACCATCCAATAATTTTGTTTTGAATTTTGGCGATATTTGTAGCTATTAAGTGTGTGTATGACATAAATCATATAAGACGACATAATATTTATGATTATACTCTATACTTTAATATATAATAGTATGATTGAACATACAAAAGGCGAAATAAAGCATATCTAAATCTAATGTCCAAAAGAAAAAGAAAAAGAAAAGCATATCTAAGTATAACAATATTGAATTTCGAATCGAAATTTCGGATTTGATAAGTTCATTCCAATTGCCATTCAAAATTTCGAAATCGGAAATGTTCGGGCTTAGAACAGAAATTTTCGAGATCGAATAGGTACATTCCAGTCCAACTTGCACAAGAGTTCAACTTCGTCCCTCAATAACATAACACATAATAACTCATTAGAAACCAAAAAGTGCTATCAACATAATCATTCTGACAAATACATATGTGCATTTCTTCGAGATTTGACAAATACATATCATGCATTTCTTTGAGATTCTTGTCCAAATCAGCTCATTTGGTATACAGGATTGTATTGGAATGGATAAATTAAGGATATATTGGAGAAGAAATTATAAAATTATGATCACGTCGAGGTTGATTAACTCATAAAGAATACTTATCCATTCGAATACTCTTTAAAATTGTAGGATTAAAAGGGCTGAATTTCTTTCATAACTAATCCTCTCCAAATGAAAAACCATCCACTTTTGCCTTTAATATAACTTTAAATCTGAAAATTCTCCATAAGTCCTTATAAAAAATAGAGGGTGAAGAGAGGGGAGATCAAGTTGTCTGTCCGAGTTTATTCTATGACAGTATTCATCATTTCTTTTATGATTTGATTGTTGTTATGAATTAAATTTCTTTTGCTAGGACTAAGATATAGCCTAGCCATGAATATTCGAAATTTATAGTTTTATTAATATCTTAATGTTATTTCATGTTAGTTTTTGTTATTGTTCTCAATGCTTTGAATGTCTAGCCAATATTTAATTGATTTGATGACCAAATTGAGACAGAAAAAAGATATTCGGTGTATGCTTCTTGTAACCAATGACATGTTTTAAATGAGTGATGGAATGGACTAACATGATTCATGCCGTTTCTCTTGCAGATTTTCCATACATCTTAGTGGATTCTTGGTTTTCTAATCTCGTTGCACATAAGAGAATAGTTCTTAATTAATAATATTTTGGCTTTTTAGCCAAAATGGCTCATAAGATTGACATAATTCCTCACTTTGGTATATGAGATTTAAAATTGATAGAACTAGTTCCTGAGATTGACTATAATATGACTGAATTTGCCTTTCTTTGCGGACAATCATTTTTTTGTAGCAAATTGGTTGATCAAGAGCAACCAAACCAAAAAAAATTAGTTTCCAGAAATATGCATACACAACATATAGGGCGACGAACAGGTTGTTGTGTGGTCAATGTTTTTTCATGAATCAATTGATAAGAATCGGATGAAAGGTAAATAATAAGTCATGCTAGGATGAAATGCTTGCTTATTTGCCACACACGTTACCTTGTCATTTGGAGATAACAAATGAAACTTGAGCATGTACACGTTGCAGAGCACTTAGACACTTATGACAAGGCTTTGAAAAACCTAAATTGATTTACTTATTGAAGAACTCTGCAATGAATTTTTTTCTTTCTTTTCATTTGGTGATATTCTAATGCAATCTAAATAAAGAGAGTCGACAATTGAAATTGGGTGCAGATGGAAGCACATGACCCTATTGATGTGCACCGCGTACCATGTATTTGGTTTTGGTGATTGAGGTTAAGAGTTTATGTTTTTATAAATTAAGGTTAACGGTGATCGTATAAGTCATTGACTATACACTATACTTTTTTGATTAGTTTTGGGTGCATGCATAATATCATATGATGTCACGTAGTGAGATGGCATGAAAATATTCAATGGTAAAGAATACAAATGGCAAGTAGATACAAGAAGTGTTTTCTAAAGAGCCAAGCTGATGTTTCTGTCTATAAAAAAGGATGAGTTGCAATCAATCAAGATAAGCATTCATGGCTTGATATTGTGCTTGAGAAGAGAAATTTAGAACTCCTCTGTAAAATTCGACAGATTACACTATCCATCAGGAAGGTACAATCACCACGCAGCGAACTTCATTTAAGACATGTTCCCAAGTAGGGGTGACCTTAACGTGGTTACAAAGTTGTCTCCAACTCAGTCGTTCATCGGTGCCCATGATGTAGACCGTACTGAAATCGAGCCATTCCAAATCGACCATATATTCTATAAGAACTGAAGGGAAAATAATGAGTTTCTAGAATGGGATTTCATAATGACTATCATGCATATTCAGATCAAATTTAATATACGAAAGCAGCGGAAGCATTTATAACATATTATCAAAGCTATAATCATGCAAATCCCCTTCAAGGTTCATAGGTTTATATATAATGCATCAAAACATTTTAAAGAATCAAGAACAAAGTGAAGGTAAGTCTTATACCTCTTGATCTAGACTTAAGACCAAGGATGGACCACCTCCAAGCCCTTTGCTCCTTGAAATCCTTGAGCCTAGCTTCCCTCCTTGCCTCCTCCACTTTGTTACAATGAGTGCTCCTAGGTTCTCTTCAAGTTCCCAAAGTAGGAAACCTCTAAAGATCCTCACCCACAAGTGTAGTGAGAAGGATGAAGGAATAACCAAAAGAGTGAAAGATTGTTAGCTAAATCACCCTCTTTGGTGGCCGGCCTTTGTGGTCTTAGAGAGCTATTTTCTTTTGCCTCTTTGTTGTTCAAAAACACACAAAAAACCCTAATGAACAATATCTTATAAAGTTCCTTATATAGACAAAAGAAACCTAGTCAACACTTGACTGAATATCTCACCCTTTCCACCTTAAAGTGGCCGGCCTCTTTGTTGTTTGTTTGGACTTTGGACTTCTATTATTTCAAGTCATCCAATACTTGAATAAAAGCCCAATGGGTTTAGGCCCAATGGGCCCAATTAAACCCGAACGTTTCTTAAGCCCAAAACGATCTTTATCGCTTTTATGATTTCTTTAGACTTTCTAAATTAATCACAACAATTAATTAATCCAATTAATTATTTCCATCATCCATTAGTTACTCACTACAATAGTGTTTTGGTGAACAATCTTTTAGGTTCTAATTAGCAAGGCAGTGAGGTGATTGGCATCAATCCAATTGCTTATGTTTAATTCAATCACTTAGTGAATTAAAACTTCATTTTAATTCACCTTTCTTCTTTGACGACTACATTTAATCATCTAGAAGAACTCACAAGCTATGAGTGACATCTAACCATATGTCATAGCTACCCAAGCTAATGTAGAAGTTTATTCGAAGAACCTAGTCAGTTGGAATTACAATGTAATTCAATCATTCTCTAATACAATACTCTCAATCACATCATTAGGGTATGGATATATCATGTCAAACCCCTAATGTGATTATTCCTTCATATATGATTCATTTGAGTCGTATAGGAACGCTTTCCATTCAATACGCTCGATACTTCGGCCGAAGATTCCCGAATCATATCTTAGAGTATTCTTCCTCTCTTACCGAGGATTAGAGATTCCTTGTTGCGCATATATTTGCCTTGATGACTAAGTGGCTTAACCCCAATTATGCCGTGGACACCCTTGAATGGGAAGACTTTGACATAATCAAAGATTAAGTACTTAACCACAAGACAACGACGATGCCTCAGGTCTAAGGATTACTTACATCTTTCCAACCATTAGAGTTACTTGCTTGACATATGAGTAGATCTCCATGCAAGTACTCTCGTTCGATTGTGTTCAGTGAACTCATTCCCTTAATGAGCACCTACATACTTGTCTTAGTGTCACAACACGAATGGGATGAGACTTTCCATCCTTCCAATTGAAGCGGACACAGTATGTACCGGTCTACGCATTGTCAGTATCCCTCCGACAATCCAATGACCAGGAACCTTTTGGACATCTGGTTATGTGAAGAAGGTCTCTGTAGTCTAACTTCATTAGATTACTTCTCCAATCGATCCATTGTCCATGGATACACTATTTAGGACATATGTCGTTAATTGAGATAGTCCTAATTCGTGTCTTTGCCATTTGATGTATAAGATTCATCCATACATCCATTCATTTGTCCTGAAAGATTTCTTCCAAAGATTGACTTTCAGGGCATATTTCCAACAAGAACTGCAGACCAAAATATGCGTGACTAGATTTGGTCCAGGGTGGTTGCGTCTTCTCGGTGGATATGGTAGCAAACTGGCCCATTAGCATCCTTCTTAGCAAACTCATCCAGTTTGCTACCATATCCACCGGGAGGACGCAACCACCTTGGACTGGTTCAGGTCACGCATATTTTGGTTTGCAGTTCTTACAGAATATATGGCCGATTTGAAATGACTTGATTTCAGTACGATCTACATCATGAGCACCGGTGAGCGACTGAGTTGGAGACAACTTTGTGACCACGTTAGGGTCACCCCTACTTGGGAACAAGTCTTAAATGAAGTTCACTGCGTGGTGGTTGTACCTTCCTGATGGATAGTGTAATATGTTGAATTTCACAGAGGAGTTCTAAATTTCTCTTCTCATGCACAATATCAAGCCATGAATGCTTATCTTGATTGATTGCAACTCATTCATTTTTTATAGACACAAACAGCCACTTGACTCTTTAGAAAAGACTTCTTGTATCTACTTGACATTTGTATTCTTTACCATTGAATATTTTCATGCCATCTCACTACGTGACATCATACGATATTATGCATGCACCCAAAACTAACCAAAAAAAAGTATAGTGTATAGTCAATGACTTATACGATCGTTAATCTTAATTTATAAAAACTAAAACATAAACTCTAAACCCTGCTCAATCACCAAAACCAAAGATGGTATGCAGTGCACATAAATAAGGTCGTGTACCTCCATCTGCACCGAATTTCACTTGTTGATTCTCTTTATTTATTGCATTAGAATATCACCAAATGAAAAGAAAAAAAATATTCATTGCAAGAGTTCTTCAATAAGCAAACATTGAGTTCTTCAATTTAGGTTTTTCGAAATGCTCTGCAACTTACAAAGCAAGTGTACATGCTCAAGTCCGAAGCATATGAATAGATCAACTCATAAATATTTTTGAATATTGTAAAAAATGAAAAGTTCACGAGATTTCGGAGTCGCAGAGATGTTTTGAGGGCACCAAATCATTTTTGGGTCCAAAATGACATTTCGAGAGTTTCAAAAACAAGGCCAGAAAACTAAAAGGAAAATGTAAAAGAAAATTTAAAAACAAAATTACAAAAAGAGAATCGAATGCAAACGAACAAATAATGCACGAAAACAAGAAGGAAGACCACCAAAACTAACAACAGATAAGGAAGAATGAGGGCTTACATCGTAGTGGTGCAGATCTCTCGATGCAATCTCCACTATGAAGTGGTTAGGCCTGACTTGGACCTTCTCACCGAGCTTCCATAGCCGGGTCTCGCCGGATATCGGATGGCCATCGACGACGACGGTGGCGGAGCGGTCAGCGTCAGTTTCAACAACATCTCACAGATGAGAGTAGCCTCATCAGCGATAGTGCCGAGATGGAGGACGCCTGAGCCAGCGCCGGCCTGCGAGAAGCCGGTACTTGAACTATTGGTTGGGCACGTCTCCTTCGTTCTTAATCTTCTCTCTCATCTTCTTGCTCTGGACTCTTTTGAAACCTCTTCAAGTTTAGACATAATTGAGCGAACTTATTTTCTTTCTAAAAATCTATGAAATGAGATGAGTAGGAACAATGAAAGAGTTGTGAGTAGATGTGGTGGTTGAAGTGAGGTTTGGTGTGAGTAGATGTGGTGGTTGAAGTGAGGTTTGGTGTGAGTAAATAGGGTGGTTTGAAGGGTTTTTATGGAGAAATATCGGGAAGTCAAGAGATCGGATAAGGACACTTGACGCTACATGAATGGTCGAGAATCTTATAAAAAATCTGAACGTATATCTCTATTAATTAATTAAATCTTCTTTGTCCTCTTCTATCACAAAAAAAAAAGAAAGATGGGCAATAATGTAATTTCATAAGACCAAATTTTACTGTTTTTTATTGAAGCCTCACCTACATGTGATGTTAAAATATCTCTAATATTTAAAATAAATTAAAAAAAAAACAAAAAACAAAGGATGTATTTGCTCACCACCATTGGAGATGGTCTTAGTGTTATGTATGCTCACCACTTTATTTATCACCGTTAAGATGAATTTGAATTTTGAGATTTGTGCCTATCTACTATACGAATTTCGAAATTCAAACTTATCATACTGTAATAAATACGGTGGTGAAAAAAAATGCTCCCAAAAACAAAAACCTCCCACTACCCCCTCCCCAACAATTCTCTCTCTCTCCCTCTCTCCTCATTTTTTGAAAAAATATGTTCATATACACAAAAAAATATGTAAGCAAATGCTAATTATTAAGAGATAATATCACGTAGCATAACAAGAGTGGTTGGAAATCTCATCGAAAATCTTAACCAATAATGACATGCGAAGATGAGTAATACCTAGTTATAATCACATATATACAGAAAACTGTCATTCCTCTATTAAAGTAAATACGTAACTTTTTCATAAATAAGCATTTTAGCTTTAATCGTTAAAGTCCATCTATCTCCTCGTCAAGTAGGAGGACATGTTAGTCTTTTCTGTGTCCATTATACCACTCATTAATTGAAGACGTAGGAATGAAAAATTTGCCTCTCAACCACATTTTCATCAGCTAAGGCATTAAAGATTGAAAATGACTTCATTTTTCCTTAATGCACTGATCCTGGTCTAAGATTAAAAATATAACTTTTTTTTATAAAATATTTTAAATATATCAAAAATCACACTTGAATAGACCCAATTACGCTTAATAGAATTAATATTCCGGGCCGGAGTTCAAAGTTGGGTGATTGGCAAACTAGTTGCGGACATTGTCGAGTTACTGGAGGAGACCTGCAAATTCTCTCCTCATCTCGGAATTTGATCACTAGCCGTAATACGAATTAATTTTTCGCAGTAGTGATATTGATATATCATAATTCATTAATATTTGTTTTCTTCTCCAATGGTCGGCGGTTATGAGATTAGGGTTTCAATATGTCCGGTAAATATTTTCTGGGCTTTTGATTCGTCCCTCTTTTCTACCACTAAAACATTTGCATGACTACCAATCAACCAGGTTATTGTTGGGGGACAATTTCATTCAACATGATTTATTCCTCAACGATGATTGATTTTTAGGTTATAAATGGTAAACACTCATTAATACGACGGGTCTGAATTTAAAACGACGCGCAGAGCAGAGCGCAGATATACAGAACAAGAGTCTGTCTGTAAAATTCTATGTAATTTATGGATGGGTGGATGTATAATTGTGTAGATAAAATAATTGATTTATTCTTCAATTACCAAAACCCTAATTTTCGACTTTGTTCTTCCATCAGTGTATTGCTCTTCAACATAGAAAGTTAGAAAATACTTAAGTATGGTGTTGTGTTGTTTGAAAATTTTGCAGACAAGACTCGGGTTGTAGCCATGGAAGCAAAAAGCACTTTCGAGAATGGAAGCGCTTTTCCTCACGGTGCTTTACCTGTCTTCGTTTGCTTCGATGCAATGGAAATGGAATAATGGGATCGTTATTTTTCTCATCTACGCTTTTGATGTATGTTCAGGTCATTTTTGGAGGAGTACAATGAATACACTATAAATGCTTGGAAATTGAAGGATAGCCAACCAGATCTTGTCCCAGTAAGTTTTTGACTGCGTCCGTTATGTTGTTTGGTTTTTCTTTGTTTTCTTTTCAAGAACACTGATTTATATTGCTTGTCTATGTGAAGGGGTTCGCACACAGATTTATCGCCTATACTGTGTTTGTGACAGCAGATTCCAAGTTCATTTCGATTTGCCTCTGAGCGAATTTATTGAGTTTATTCGGATTCGGATCGAGTGGAAAGAAGGAAGGCCATGGACAAAGCCTTTGTTTTTCTATTTCAAGAACACTGATCCTCCCGCTGGTAAGCAGAGCTGCAAAAATATTTTATTTTAGAGCGACAATCGGCATAAGGATATCCATCCATCTTGATCCCAAACTGTGGTAATAACTCTAATTTCGTCCAATGTTGTTGCACACAGGTACATCTATGTATGTAATCAATGAGGAAAATAAGGATGACGACGGATTTCTTAACATCACCTACAGTGGAGAAGAGAAAGGAGCCTGGACGGAGTTAAAGAACAAGGAGTTTGCTCATAAAGTAAAAATATAAGAGCTAGGAGTCAGTAATGTGAGCTGCTTAGAGGATATGACATAGTTGAAGACTTAAAACTGATATTGAGACGAATGACATTGCATTGGACTTTAAAATGCATCGAGTTGAAATGTTTTATCACCGACTTTGCTTACAGATGATATATGTTTATATACAATGATATTTAGATGCATTGGAGTAGAAATGTTTTGATGTTTTTTCTGTTGTTATTTGTCTAATTTTGTTGACATGCTTGTTACGCTGTGTGTGTTGGTTACTATATTGTCTCTTCAGGACATCCTTCAAGTTGATTCTGGCGTAGGCGCTTGCTGCCGAACCACTTGGGTTGGGCTTGGTCGGTGGCTGCCGAAATATACCACTAATATCAGTCGGTGGCTGCCAAACGTCTTCGGTCGTGTTTGATTGGTTGCTGTCAAAAGCCTTCAGTTATGTTCGATCGGACCTGCTGAATATTTGTGCTGCGTCCCATATTGGTTTGTCGAACAACTGAAGAAACCAAAATTTCCTAAAAGATAAAATCACAAGTTAATCTTATATTCTTAAGTTAGTCTTATTTTTGTAGGGTTTGGTTTTTATATTTCACACACTTTAATAAACAACAATTTTAATTAAAATCTACCGTGGAAATCAATTTGTTATTCACACATCTATTTTACTTTTCAAACACTTTTGTTATTTCTAGTCTTTAATTTTCTTCAATTCATTTTGTTGATGCACAAAACCGGAGGTCTTGGAACAACTTAAATCCGACCGTGAATCTGCATGAAATGTAAATAACATAAGATGTATCGTGGTCACCCCAAGGTTTGGGCTACGTCCACACTGATTATGTATTTATCTGAGAGGTGAGGGAGAGAACCTCTGTAATGAGAGGAGATTTGAGAAGGGATCAGCAGTTGGCTGGTCAATCTTGTTAATAACGGGTATTATTGTCAGGTTGGATTCAAAGGCAATATAGAAGTTTGCAACATTTTGTGCTTGAACACCCTGTGCAACATCAGAACCCGAAGAAGACGAATGAGAGAGCCGGTGAGGAAGGACTCTAGAAACGGAATTCGAACTTGAACTCAAATTCGCCGCCGCAGAAGAGGAAGAAGTGGAATCGGGAGAGGAGACGCAAGTGGAAACTCTCTGAATCAAATCGTCGAACAGATTATGTGAATTCTCATGAATCAAAGCCACTGTTTTAAATGCCGTCGTTTCCATTTTCCTCCGCCAGATCTGTGAATTCTTATGATCTCTTGCACCACCCACTTCTCAAGATCTGCGAGGTAGCTTTTCCATGACTTTGTCGCCGGCGGACAACGACTTGGAGCAATCAGCCTTTGTTCTTTTCGATTTGCGAGATAGTCACTATCCAGTGATTAAAATAGTGTCATCTTTTGCACAAATCGGGGCGGGTTTGGATCTATCCGGATCGGGGCGAAGTCGGGCGGGGAAGGAGACTAAAATGGACGGCAATGTCGTCGACGCCCCAGAAGACGCCGGAGCTGATGACCTGGGTTTTGAGTGGATGGAGGAGAGGCGGTTCTGGTACCATTTCAAGAGCTTTAACATCATTTGGGCGCTGGGCATGGCGGCCGATGCTTTGCTGAAGTTGGGATTGATGGCCGGCGGGATTCGCACGCCTCCCTCCACGTCGTCATCGCCAAACAGGAAACTTGGTCTCTTGTTTGAACCCTGGGTCCTAACCTGGGCGTGCGACGGGATCCGCTACGTTTTGGTTTGAAGCCCTCGGTCTCTTGTTCTGCGTTTTGTGATTTTTGCAACGGTAGGAGCGTAGGAAGATTATGAGAACAGAGAGGGCAGAATGGAGAAAACCACCGCAAGCCTCAGCGTGAGAATTCTTTTTTATTTTGCTAAAAGATTCTCTGAATTTCTGCCACACAGTAGAGAAAGCTGAGGAGTGTTTGAGATTTGGATCTTTTCTGTTTCTGGGTTTTTGTGTGGATTTTGCAATCTACGGTGGACAGTGTGAGATTTGATGAAAAGATGAAAGAGAACCGACATAGGTTTTTGTGTCGTTTCCCACAGACGTCGTCAAATGTTGATGCACAAAACCAGAGGTCTTGGAACAACGTAAATCCGACCGTGAATTTGCATGAAATGTAAATAACACAAGATGTATCGTGGTTCATCCCAAGGTTTGGGCTACGTCCACACTGATTATGTATTTATCTAAGAGTTGAGGGAGAGAACCTCTGTAATGAGAGGAGATGTGAGAGGGGATGAGAGGGCTTTAGAAATGGTCTCCCCCAATTGTGAGGGTGAGGGGTCCTTTTATAGAATAAGGACTCCTCACTTATTACATATTTGCCAATTCTTTTATTACATAATTACATTTAAGTCCCCCGAGTATTTATACGAGATCTAAATACGAGGCTCTAAATATGGTATAAACACATTTGATTCGACGGATGAGAATTGAGAGATGTGTATGAAAAGTAAAAATAGTTTGTGAATAGCACTACCTATTTTTACAGGGTTATTTATTTATGTTTGAAAGTCATAGTTGGTCGAATTAGACCACAATAAAATAAAGGATTAAGTACTTAGAACTCCCAACCTTTTAGTGTCACTCTAAATTGGTCTAAACCTTTTTAACATTCCAAATAAGCACTCAACCGATTGAATATGTCACATCTGTTAACCCTAGTTGAAAGTTTGTTAAAAGAAGTAGGCTTACTTTGTCTCCAAAATCAATAGAAGGTCATGGAAGCATAGCCTCCACCAACTAACAGTTACCACCACCCGCATCATGTTATCACCTTTAAACCTAATGCAAAACCACCAACTCCACCCTATAACTCAGTCTACCAATATCAAGAAGAAGGTCATAGAGGTTGCTGAAATGGTATGAACTGCCATGATGTCACGACCACCATCTTCATCGCCCGCAAAGAAGAACTAGAAGCTTTACCAATCGAGAATCGTCACAATAAGGAAATCACATGAGCATGAACAACTCCTTGAAACCCTTTATGAAATCTTAAACCTCTTCTCTGTTAAGAGATTGCCCTACTGATGTAATTTCAATTTGGATCTATTTTCGATTCAATTCAATACCTATTTGATTGGGTTATATTTTGTATAATTTATATTTGAAATTTAGATTTTGAGGCAATCAATGTTAATATTGTCCATAATATAACCAGTTGGGGCACTTGAAATATAATTCATGTTTGAAAAATTAATTGGGATTAACAAATATGACATTTTAATGAGTTGGATATTTGTTTATTGTATGTAAAAAGGTTAAGACCAATTTAAAATGATACGTCTTAATTCTTTCAAAAAAAAAAAAAAAAAGGCGACAAGTTGGTGCCAATTCCCGCGAAAAAAACCCAACGACTCCTACCTCTCATCAGTCCTTTCTCTGATCCTTCAATCGATTCCAATTCCGTCGTCTCGAAGATAGAACAAGCTTAGGATCGCCAATTTCAATGGCGGCCATGGCATTTGCGATGGCCGGAATGATGAACGGAGAGAGAGCTGTGGTGTTGCTGTTCATTTCTCGCGTCCTCTTCTCTCTCACCATCTCTCTCCTCGCCCTCTCCCTCGACATCCTCACTGATTCTTCCACCTCCCTCTCCCAATTTAGCACCAGGTACTACTCCTACTCTTCTCCTTCAGTTTTTTCAATTGCTCTTGTTAGGGTTCGTCCAGTGTTGAATGTGGGCATTGACTGTAATTTTAATGTTTCAGGGCGGGTGCTTCGTCGGGTATACTGTTAGGGGCTGTCGCGTTGGCCACTGTTTTCATATCCAAAACGATACAACTTTCGCTGGCGGTTTCGTTGCACCAAGTTTCTATTGAAGGTACTTTGTGTAGTTTTCAATTCACCGTTATCCGTAAAAGAATTGTGCTCGATTCCTGAGCTTCTTTTCATTTTCTGTTTATATAGAACTTTACAAGTATAGTTAATTAGAACTTTACAGGTATAGTGAATATTTCACATGGATACACTGCATCAATGTTTCTGCATCTGAGTATGGGCAGCATTTGTTTAATGCATGCGTTGTATGTATTGCAGAGTCATTCACAACACTTGGTTTATCACACCCCCGCAAGCTGAGCGGTTGCCGGCGAACGGGAAGCTTGGAAAGAAGATAATTGAAACGATAAGTGGACAGTCCTTTGGTCAGGAAATCAGCAAGTTGATCTTGCGTAACAACATAACCAACTTGTAATTCCTGGCGTGTGACCTTTTCCCGAATGTAATGATAATCGACTTCGACATGGCGAGTGCGGGCATGAAAGACAGGGTTTGAGGCAAGGAAGATTGCAGAAATATTATCACACCACACCTTTGGAGGAGATAGATGAAGATGCAGGTCTTTGAAGAGCTTACGAAACCAAGAAATAGTAGCTGCAGTTATGGCAAGTTGTCTGTATTCTGATTCTGTGCTAGAGCGAGACACTCCTTTTTGTTTCTTAGAACTCCAGGACACAAGGTTTGGACTAAGAAATATACAGTACCTGCCAGTGGATTTGCGATCATCCGGATCTCCTGCATAATCAGAGTCGGCAAAGGCAGTGAGGGTGAGAGGTCCAAGTTTATACACAAGGCCATGATCTGGTGTGGACTTCAAATAGCGAAGTATTCTTTTAACAGCAATCCAGTGTGTTGTGGTTGGTTGATGCATGAACTGGCAAACCTGGTTGACAGAGAAGGCAATATCAGGACGGGTGAAAGTGAGATATTGGAGTGCACCCACTACACTTCGGAACTTAGTAATATCTTGTAATGGTTCGCCGTCATATAAGCTGAGACGTTTACCACTGACTGCAGGAGTGGAGACAGGTTTACAGGCCACCATGTTTGTACGGTGAAGCAAATCAGAAATATATTTAGACTGTGAGAGATGAATGCCATTACTAGAGCGATGAACCTCCATACCCAAAAAATAATGGAGAGGACCAAGATCTTTCATTGAAAAAACCGAGCCCATGTCCTTGATCAAGGTGTTTATACACTGAATGTTGTTGCCTGTGATAAGGATGTCATCTACATAGATTAATAAGTAAATACGAATTAAACCATGACAATACACAAAGAGAGATGAATCTGCTTGGGAGGCCACGAAACCTAGGTGTTCCAGATGATTAGAAAAACATTGGAACCATGCCCTAGGGGCCTGTTTAAGACCA